TTGTATGACACGCACACATCAATGAAAACTAAACACATTTTTGCTATAAATTCAGTTAATTTTAGTTAGTTTTGTGAACACTCATTATAGTTTTAGTTAGTTTTCCTTTTTCTGTTTTTATTTCCGTTAACGAAAATGTTTTTTCACTTCTAGTTTTCGTTATTTCGTTAGTTTACGTTAATGATAATAACCTTGGTCTGGACAGTTTAATTTGGAGCTGAAATGTTGACTTTTACCCTTTGAGACATGTTTGGAAATACTTCAGCCAGGCTGCTACCAGACAAAGCTTAAAGTTATAAAGATAGCAACATTTTCAAAATCTTCCTTAAATGTTAAAGCTTTGCAAAAACTTGGGTAATGCTTGCAAATGGTCAGGCTAGCACAAAGCCTCTGAAGTCTCCAACTTTAACTAGCAAAGCAAAAGCTGTCCTTCAAACAGTGAAATGTGTAAAACTATTTACGTCTTTCAAAAGAGATGAATCCACAGTGTCTTAAATACAAAGCTTCAGGACGGTTTGTCAGGTTGAGAAATCCTCCGTTTCCCACAAACATCCACCTGACAAACTCTCCACTTTCCTGGTCACATGATCCCTGGTCATAACCTCACCTCCATCACTTCCTGGAACCCTGAAACCAAAGCTGTGTCTCTGCCAGCTCGCTGCTCTGGAGGCGAGCGGCTCTCCCTTTGCCCTGCTCGTCCCCAGCAGGTGTTTCTGATCCACCAATCAGCAAGTGTGCTTTTAACTGTAATCGGTGTTATTCGTGAGCCCGGGAAGGCCGATGACGTTCAAAAGTGCAGAGATGAAGGTCACCTCCAGCAAACAGAGATAAGCAGCGACATGTTATTGAATGTTCTCCTGTATAATCCGACTGAAGCAGCGGCTCAGCAAGAACAAACCTGCCACACGCTTCCTGTTTGCACCGGCTTTTGTAATTTGATGTATTTGTTTCTTTATCGTTCAGTACAGGAAAAGCTGTTTGAGGCGTGCAGACAAATATCTGATGCAGACAATCTGCGTGTCTTGTTTACGTGCTGCTCGGTGCAGAAAAAAAGTCCAATTTTCTGCCTAAATTCAAAGCAGGTAGATAATAAATAATTCATATAATTGGAGCGGCTGAGCTTCCGTTTATTGGGAAATTTGGAACAGATAGCAGCTGCTCTTCCAGCACTGGGCTTTTTTAAAACTACAGTTTCACAATAATGACAATCAGACCGGCCTCGGGTGACAGCGTGAAATACTATTTCGACTTCTAACCGAACACCGAGCAGCACCGTCTGAGCCTGAGAACTGAAGCCCCTCCCCCAGACATGCTCCGGTGTGACCTTTAGATAAGAGAGTACAAACTGCGTCCACCTGTGAATCCAACCCACGGCCGACAGCCTCTGCAGTGGTAAGTTTTTAGGGACCCTTCTCTAAATATCTGTGCTTGCAGTTTAGCAAAGAGTCGATCAGAGAACATCATGATGAGCTCACAGGGACACACACACCTGCCCGTTTACTGCAAACACGTACCTGTAAAAATATGTTGTTTCAGATTAAACACATTTTAGTATAAAGATCAGCAGAGTAAACACAAAAGTCCTGATTTTGCACATTTGAAATATTAAAAAAAAAAAATTTGATAATTCCCTTTCAAAATAAAACAAACATTTTACTGACCCACACACATTTAAAAGGACAATGCTCACATCTGCTGTAAGAGAAAGAAAACAGTGACAGTGGAGGTGAAGACAATGAAGGCTGGGCTCACAGCGTCAGAGATTTGAAGAGAGGAAAAAAGTCTCGTTGAGGAGCCTCGGGCGTGAGCAGGTCCATTTCCTGCTCCTCAGTCAGCGCTTTGAAAGAAGTCAGGAAGGCGACTGCGTCGTGCCCTTCGCTGATTAATCAACTTGTGGAAATCAGGCAAAAACAATCACATTTACTGGCTTACACTTTTATCCAGTGTTTAATCAAACATCTTCTGCTTGCTGCTAATTTATTTGAAGCCCTCCGAGTGTTTATTGGCTCTTCTGTTTGATCAACCAATCAAAAATCATTTTCAGCTCTTTCACTTTATGTCTAAACCCCCAGGCAGAGTCGTCCTGCAGCCCGGCGCCAGTCTGCACACACCGGCTCTGATTCGACCCTCGTGCTGATCAGCGATCCTCTGAAGATCACCTGATCCCATTTTCTCCATTTCCTGGTCCCAAAATCAAAGACGTGCCAACGGCTCCAACCTTGTTCTCTGGTGGAGACTTTTAATGTTGCCTGGATGTTCTTCTTGCATGAGGGAACGTTTGTGTACAGCAGTTGTTTAAAGCTATAATGCCACGTGTGCAAAAGCAAAGCAGAAACTCCGACACAGCCCATAATGGCATGGTGCTGCAGCTCAGAGGTCCTGAGTTCTTTGGACTTGGATTCAGGAGACAGTTGTGCTGCAATAGGCTGCTGGGGGATTCCCATGATGCACTGAGGGTTCACCTGAAGGCGTGCAGGTCTCCTGTCCCTGTGGTCCTGCAGGTACTCCAGAGTGAACATCGGTGATGACTCCAACCCAAATCATTCTCCAACGTCTTGGCTAAGAGTGAACATAGAAATAGTCTTTTTCCAAGACAGACGATTATTTTCTCCTACGACGACTTGGCGCTTAGGGTTAGGGGGTTAGGGTTAGGGTTAGGGTAGGGTTAGGGTTAGGGTTAGGGCAACTTATCCCTGCGATGGGCTGATGACCTGTGCGCCTGACGACAGATGGCTTTGGCTGCAGCTTTAGTGCTTTCTGTATATTCAGTTTGTGGGAGAGGACATAAAAGCCTCGTCTGAGTACCGATGAGAGTCTGCATTAAGTCATGTTTGTGGCATTAAGGCCAGCCAGCATTCTCAGCCTCTCTGAGCCAGACAGCGTGGAAATCGCTGGGTGGTTCTCTTCAGCCTGCAGGAGTTTCAGAAGACTCTGATGTGTTTTCTTACCAATGAAATGAAATGAAAGCAAGTTCACGGTGTCTCTAAACATCTTAACTGCAAAGAGGGAGAGAATCCGTCACGGGCGGCGAGCTCCGCTCTCAGCCGCTCTCACAGTCCTCGTTTCTTCTGAGTCACTGCGAGTCTGCGACTGATGGAGCACAAGCACAAATGACGTAAATGGTGGGATTCATTTCCAGGTGCTGGATGGATATTTAGTTAATGTGGTGCTGCAATAACACGTTATGCAGTTATGTGTTGTCACAAAGTACGTCATTGTTATGCAAATGAGCAACTGCAGAAGGGAGAAACTCGTTTAAACTTGTTGGGGGCCTGATCGTGGGCCTGGTGGTCTCGTACAGGGACAGCCATTGTTTCCATCTGTTGCATAGATTTGAACTGAACTCAGCGAATGTGCACAGACGTGTTTTATTGATGATTAAATGGACTCGGGGAATGTCTGTGTGAGAGCCTGCCTGAGGACGCGCAGCGTTGGGAGAAGCACGGCCTCCTAAGACGAGTCGCGACCTCCCTCCAAGCATCGGCCCATCCGCAGCAGAACTACCACACGGCTCGTTTTTGATGCTCTGCAGGTCAAACATCCCCAGCAGGAGCTGAGCGTCACCCCGCTGACCCCAGATTGAAGTGGAGCTCTGAGTCATACTCTGAAGATGTCCTGAAGAAGCACCTCTGAAGTTTCAGCTTTTCTGTTTTGGTTTGGAAGAGTCAGATCAGGTCAGGCAGCGCATCAGAATTACGAAGCGGCAGCCGGAGCGCCTTCATCATCATTTTGAGTTGCTTTTATTTTGGATTTTATTTTCACAGAAACTCTGGAGAATGAAGAGCGAGTCAGAAAAATACCAGCAGAGGTTTTTCAGTCCCAAACATGCTGTAATTCTAGCTTCCAGCAAAGAAACTGCAGGTGGGGTGTGACTATCATCACAATGTGTTCAAAGTGCAGCTGAAATGTGTTTTTTATGTCATTACAAAGCTGATGGATCTGTCTGCTGCTCGTGAGCCCAGCTGTGGGGACGATGCAGGTAGAGTGAGACATATGCAGATAATAAGCAGGGTTGAGGGATCAGGGTTAGAGGAAGGAAAGCTTCTCCGAGTGCTAAGCTACAGCTCAGGGCTGCTTCCAGTCAAATGTAGAGTTGAAACTGAAACAATGAGACTGAGTGTACAAGGCGTGAGACTGAGCTTCCTCTGAAGGATGCTTGGGCTCACCCTGAGAGATAGGATAGGGACTAGGAGGCAACTGGAGAGGTTCAGCATCTCACCAGGAGGCTTCCTATGTGAGGTGTTTTACTTGGGTACTACTGAGAGGAGAAACGCTGCAGAGATTGTCTCTTTTCACAACCGAGTCGGCCCCTGCTGGCCACTAGAAGGAATGTAGTTTTGGCTCAATAGATGTTCAGTCACACTGGAGTAAAAGTAGGACAGCAGCCTTCTTGTGACTGGGAGAAATCAGCGGTTGCTGGGACTGCATTTGGTGACCGACTCTGAGCGTGCAACTGGGCGACTGTTTCTTTCACAGCTGGCAGGAGGCAGATAACTGTGTGCATTTTGTCTGCAGTGCAGTCGAGGACCGGATTCAGCTGGTTGCAAACTGCTTATATGGTAAAGTAAGTTTACCGCGTCCGTGCCATTTTGTAATTGTCTCTATTTGAGAAGCAAATTCTGTTTTAGATCTTTGAGGTTCTGGCTGGACTCGATTTTTGTGAATGCTGATGCTGATTCGTTTGTCACAGATTGTCTGTAATTGACAACTTCACCTAATTTGATCTTATCACAGTTTTTATGTACAAAAGTCGCTTTGATGTGGCTCGACCCTCATTCCCGTCTTCAAAGCAGCCGTTTCAAACACAACGACATCACAACTGTATCGCACACACTTGCAACACATCTGGTTTCCACTGTTTGTGAGTGCAGTGGAAAGAAAGCATCTCGTCTCTGAGTGTCCTCTCCTACATTTCTAAAAGCTGCTTGTGTGTTTGAGTGATGCATGTTTTTCACTGCTCAGTATCAAAAGCAACCTTTCTACTTCACGGCGAGCTGTTGGACTTCAGCCGACTCTCTGACGTGAAAAGGAACCTGTATGTCTTAAGTGATATAAAAGCCTCTTTATGCAGCACAGACACGGTGTGGGCCTGAGATGCTGCTTCACAGTTTCTAAACCTTTCTTCTTTATCTTCAAAGCGCCTCTGGAACATTCAGCAACAGCTGGTTCTTGACGTCTTGTGTATTATGTGTTGCATAATCTGAGCTCGTCTGCCAGAGTGCTGACACAGTTGCAGAGGCAGACGTGTGCAACATCATCATGCAATGCATTCATCTGCTCTCAGCCTCCAGTTAGCAAGATGAGAAATTACTCCTGCAGGTGGCTTGTTTCAGTGCAAGGAGGGTTTTTGTAACGCTGCGGCCAGTTCGCCACAGCCTCCCTCTGACTATCCGTCTGCCTGCTGTCGGGTTGCCAGGTTGGAGCCCAGCCTGTGGGTATGGGGAGCTGCTGCCGTGTTAGATGAATGGCCCACGGCTGCTGTCAGGCTGCCAGCTCAGAGCCGAGCCAGGCAGCTGGACCTGTAGAAACCTTCGTGCATCTTCTCCCTCGGGGCTGTTTGCATTTCTCATGACAACTGGAGGCGGCGTGTGAGTCTCCTTCAGCCACAGATACAGGCAGCAGGAGCTTCACACTGCAAACTTAGAGGGAAATCCAAGTGTTTGATCTTTTCAGCAGTGTCAGATGTTTGTTAATCGTTTATTAGTTTTGGAGCACTGAACGTGCAAAGGCACACACCATATAGAATTATTTATGTACATTAATCACACTTTTGATGGGATAAACATGCTCGAAAATGCAAAAATACTTTATGAGCCTTGTTATTTAAGCTTTATTTCTCCAGGATAATAGAAAATATTCAGTTTTCAGAGCGTCCAGGCCAAGACAGATGGTGGTAGAATCAAGGGTGGTGCACAGAATATTAACACACAGAAACACAGAGGACAGAGAATACTTACAGACATATGACATATATGAGCGTCACCACTCAGGAACCGTAAAACATCTGAGGTCATCGTCGCCTCGGGGTAGAAACGAGCAGGCTGAAGTAACAGCCGCAGGTGATTTAAGACGATTTTAGATTCATTTAGTCCAAAACTGCCTAAGATTTAGTTGTTTTTAGCTGGTTTCAGCAGGGAAGAGCTGCTCATTTCATTGCTCTTTTTCTAATTTAATATGAACTTCTGGGACAGGCGGAGGGAATGAGTTCTGGGATCCAAGAAATTAACAACTCACCTCTGCCTCCTGACATCTGACCCACGTTAACACATGGACTGGACATACACACACCCACAACCACCTACACACACACAATGGACAACTGTAGCCTCAAACACACAATAATAACATGGACTGAACCACCACTCACAACCACCAGCACTTTATAGCCTCTTAACTGCACTGCTGTATAGTTCTGTGTAAATAATCATACAATCATTTTTAATTCTACAACTGTTTACAACTTGCTTAGTTCACATTTCTGGATAGTTTTTTTTTCATAC